TCTCTCTCTCTCTCTCTCTCTCTCTCTCTCTCTCTCTCTTCATCCATAGATGCAGAGAGGTTAGGTAGCGAGAGGGTGAGGGAGAGATGATGAACTCTCTCTATACCACACACGCACACACACACATGTATGGTAGTGAATGAATCTTCCCTCGTTATTGCGTTAGATTCACTCACTTTATTTTATTTATTTGCTTATTTATTTATTTATTTATTTATTTATTTATTTATTTATTTGTTTGTTTATTTATTTTCCTCGTTTTGGTCGTTGACAATGTCGGGGTGAGCCACGAAACCGGAGACTCACTTGTTCTCACTTTCTTGCTTTGTCGTCGTCGTCGTCGTCGTCGTCAACAGCCCGTCATTAGTTGTCGTCATCGTCGTCGTTGTCCGTCCGTAGGTGCGTCGCATTCCCCAGTGGCAACCGTCGAGATCACCACGATCCTGACACTTCACCGGACCATTCAATCGGTCGGAGCGACGACGGTGTGTACAGAAGGTAAGGACGTGGTCAGCGTGAGCTAACTCACACTGACTAGGCATCCCTCGTTCAATATCGATAATGACAACGATCTGCCCGCGTTGCCAAAACACCCTTCCCTTCCCCTTTTTCTTCTTCTTTCTCTCCATCTTCTTCTTCTTCTTCTTCTCCTCCTCTTTTTTTTTTTTTTTTTCTTGCGCGCACTTTCTACTAACCCGCGCTACCTCCGCGCGGCTCTCCTTCGCTATCCCCCATGCACGGCTTCCTCCTTGCTCATTCACCCTCTACTCCCATTCTTCATTTCTCCTCCTCGCTGCCTACCTACTCTCGTTCTCCATCCTCCCTCCTGCGCGCTTTCTCCCTCTCTTCGTCTTTTCTTTCCATTCACTCTTCCTCTCGCTCTATGGTAATCACGCCTCTGTTTCACCTGCTATCCTTCTCTTATCCCCTTCTCTCTCTGTGCACCCTCCGTTTCACTTTTCTCCCTTTTTCCTACTGCTGGTTTCATTTGCTCATCGCGCGGCGGTCATCTCCTTCCATTCGAAGTCGGTTTCTTCGTTGCGCTAGTCTCTTCCCCTGCTCCTGGATGGATCGCACGGGCTGCAGTCGGAGCTCATCCGACAAGTATACCATGAACCGGGTTGAACTGAATCTGTCGTTGAATCCACGACAGATTCAACGGAACGGAATGTATCCAAGTCTCGTAGAAGAGAAAATAACAATAATAATAATAATAATAATAATAATAATAATAATGACAAAATCTAACGAAATAAAAACAAAACCAAATCTACTACCTACCCCGTGATACCAACTGTAGGGCACGGGAATCAGAAAAGGAAAGAAAGCAACGACAACAACGAACTAACTGTTTTTACTATCTTTTATCCCTATGGGCACAGGCTGGAATCTCGGTCCACAGTAGTGGACCGGGGTCGAAGTTGGTTCGCGTGCCAAAAAAAAAAGAGCTACCCAATGGTCGTCGGGTTTCGATCCATCAACCTGCTGTATGCAATCCCGACCTGTTACCTACCAAGCGAGCTCTTACCATGGTATACTAATGAGCCGCCTTCCTATAAGTAAAGCTCATTGGCCCGAGTGTGTGTGCATGCCCCGCAAGGGTACTTGTTTGTTTGGGAGGCCCCGCAGGGTCGGTAGTCGCTTGTGACCGTGACTTTGGGGTTTCCAGCGGAAAAACACACAGGTAGCGGGTCGGCCGGTACTTAGCCGCGGCCACGATATAGAGAGTCGAGGCGGGAAAAACACTCAAGCGGCGGGGTAGGAGGTCCGTGGCACTTAAGGACTGCGGAAACGCTCAAGTGGCAGTTAGGCGGGCACCACGCCAAGTAGAGGCATATATGCCGGGTAGTTGAGGCCGAGTAGAAGAAGACAAAAGTTGACACTTTTAGACACCCATCACCAGTAGGTAGACAGGTAACATCCCAAGTCTCAGCGTGCGTCGTAGACGTACCTGACACGACACTAGCCTAATCAACCCCTCGGCCTCTTCAGCCGGAGGGTATTCTTACTAATCTTAACCATCACAACGCGCGTAATAACAATGTGTGCACACATTCTCAAAATTTTCTCACCGATTCGCCCCCGGCTTCAATGGTCGAGGAAATCGTTATCAAAGTGTCGCACGAAAACGGGTACACTTTTAAGTTCAGACTGACTCCATCATGGTGGTCGATGCAATCGATGTGTCGACTGTAAAAACATGGCCAAATACCCTTGTAAGTGGTCCGACAGCGCCTACCTTCCCCAACCAATTATAAGGTTCCTTCCTCTCTTCCTATCTCCCTGTTTTGCACAACTCACATGCTCATTCCATGTCGATGCTAGGTCTCGTTGAGTCATCCCAACAGAGCACTGCTTATACCATGGCGATGCGATAGCATACACGCAATCTTATGGCGAGCTCCAGTCCAACTTCCCAGTCTTAGCTGCCTGTCTCCAGTACTCCTGAAATTTTCCACACCACGTTATCTCGCCTTCTAGAACGAATGTCGGAATCAACGTGCGCATACAACCCTTTTCTTTCTTACCACGGCCTCCAAGCAACAGTCACAGTTTGGCCACTTCTTCAATTCGACTCCATAGATTTCGAGGTCCCCTATCTCACTCGGACTCTTTGTCCTCTTCTTTTGCTTCACTGGCTTTCGAAGCTCTCGTCGTCCTCCTGACCACCGGGTTTGCCGGTAGTGGTACGTTAATCGGGTCGTACGCCTTGACAACCCTGCGTAGGACTAGACGATTGATCGCAGATTCGCACTTACCGTAGTTAATTCGTTCCGTCTTGCATGCCTCCTTCAATTCTTCCACCGTCAGAGCTTCGGAGTTCCCGACAGTCAGCTTCGTACTTCTCCCTGGCACTCGGGCCACTCCCCGCCAGGATATGCTTAAGGGACAAGGCGATCTTCCCTACTGGCACCGGGGAAAATGATGTGGCCGCCTTCCTATTCTCACGTATCTCCTCGATCCGTAGCTTCGGCATCGTTCCCAGTGTCGTCCGTTGCCTTTTGGTAAGCGTGATCATTGGTGGGCTATCACCGATCACCACCTCCTTCTCCCGCTTCCTCTTGTCACTGATTACCAACCCTGCAGCTCGTCTTCGTAGCAATATAAGCTCTTCGTCCTCGACAGCATCCTCCTCCTGATGAAGGGCGATCGTCCGTCTTAACCGTTCCTTCTCTTCTTCCAATGTCTCATCCCTCTCGTTGCGTCTCACCAATTTTCTGATTCGTCGTGGAACGCGTTCGTTTTCAGTGTTACTCTCGATTCTAATTTCCGATCGGATGATACGGAGCAGCCTCGCGTCTCGCTCGTCTTCAGCTCGCTTCCGCTCGGCAATTTCTTCTTGTTTCTTCTTCTCCGCCTCGAGTCTCAACGCTTCTTGTTTGCGCTTCTCCTCCTCTTTTGCCAAATTATTTTTCTCCTGCTTCCACATTAGGGTTTTTTTCGCGAAAATAACTCCTCATCATTGCATTCGTCTCCTCATCTTCTCTTCTCGTCGCATAGTTATCCGTTGAGTGACTCTGGCACTCACTTCCACCACCAAACAGGGTTCGGCCCGCTCTTGCATACGCGGGTGGCGGAGGGGTAGGTACAAATGGAACCCCTCGATCCTTGGCCTCCCAGTATTCCTTGCAGACGCTGGCGAAGTGATCCGGCTCTCCACATTCGTAACAGGTACGCCCCGCCATCCTGTTCTCACCCCTGCCTCGTCCCGATCCTTCGGAACCTCCGGAGTTAGTAGGACCGCCTGTACCACCTGTCCCGCTTTCGTTACTCATCACACCCGCTGCTCACAGACTTAGTCTAAACGACCGCCTCTCACTCCACCCCTCTTCGTAACATGTTCGCCGCCACCCCCTCTAGGTCTAATCTCCTAGCAGGTTACGACGCTGGATGCAAGCAACAAAAAAAGACACGCAAGTTCACACTCCATACATTAGATGCAGACACCAAAGATGCACACATTAAAGTACAAGGAGAACCATAGTAATCACAGCAAGAGTTGTATATTCACGTAACACAAAACCCCCAGTCATACCGCACACCCAAGAAGTGCCAAGCACTCCTCTGATTGATGAGTATCGTGTAGTTGACTCACTTTGACGCACGAAGGCATCAAAAGGGAGTCGTACCGACAATGAGCCAGTATTTATGATGACAACCCGTGAAAAGCTAAAGCAATCGGGATCCTCGGGTTCGGCCGACCTGTTCCCGCCTCATACCAGGTCTAGAGGCCCAAACGGGTTTGCCTAGCCTTTGTCCCCTACATACCGTCGAAATCCTACCCCCACAACCGACAAATCTAACCACAAACAGGCCTAACTCAATCTGAGGAAGTTTCTGGTCCGCTAAACCATCATGCAAAAGCCGGGAAAGTCCCTGGTCCGCTAAACCATCATGCGAACAAACATATCAAATTCAAAATCCACATTCAATGCAACTTTTGTGAGTGTGGTTTACCGCTGCATGGCGGTCTATTACTTTGGTTGTGTGCATACTGTTTGTGTCTTTCTATCTATAACCATTTGTGACAATTGTGAAAAATCATTGCTCGAAAGCAAACGAGGTCAAGGCACTTTGCCAAAATTTGCAATCGCTAATCATTTTTTTATTGCAGAATTACCAAAATTTATACCACAACCTACGTGGCCAGAATTAATTTTAACAAATGTAATTACTATAATAGCACAAACAAGAGTCTTACGAGGTGGTCTACACCGAGCTATTCGATCTCACTTACTGCTGTTTGATGCAATTTATGGACCACCAGCAACATTATTACCTAGAGAAATTAATATCGATATTTTTTATAGAATTATTTTAACAAGCCTATTCACTGAACCACAACTTTTACAAATTAAAAAATATATATATTTAATTCGTCATTATGTTGTTCAAGAACTTTTATAATTTTCTAAATTGAACAATAAATATTATAAAGAAATACATATAGACGAAAATAAAATCAATGCCTTAGAAAACAATAATGGATAATTCATACCCACAATAGTTCACAATCTTACAAAAGCTAAATCAAATTTAGTAGATAAAATAGAAAACGATGAACACTCAATTGCAAAAACAATAGATTCAACAAACGAAGAAATTAATATAAAAAAAACAAAATTGTTCATAAAAACAATTGCTTCAACAATGAACATGACAGCAAAAGAACTAATTGACAATAAAGAAATTAAAAATATTCATTCTCAAATTTATGTTATTCAATCATCGAATAAAATTAGTAATACAATCAATACAGATATTGATGCAAAAATGTTTATTCACCTTTTTCCATATGGACGTGGAAATATTGGAGAATCAGATAGATATATTGATGTCTCAAAGTATGAATGCAAAAAACATTACTATTTTTTAAACCATCGAAAATTTGCAAAAGATTCATACTTTATTTTAGTTATATTTGATAAAGAAGTTATTGAACGTGGTTATACCATGTCATACATCACATGCACAACCATCCCACAAATACAAGAACCCATACCAAATATATCTCGAAAAGATTTAGAAATAGTTTTACAAAATAAATAACGATGACTATGTGGTCACGAACCTGTCGTTGTCAATGGCGCCGCACAAAAAATATTACATCATATTGAATATGCCTCATCTTATGTTTGGCGCAGCAACTCAGAACGACGAATGCATCGTCAAAAACCTTTTGCAACATGGGATAAATTTGGTCAATCAATAATTTTTGTGACATTAACTCCTAATACGGAAACAACTTTCACAATCGCCTCATATACAAGACTAACAAAAAGTAACAATTTTTTAAATAATTAAAAAAAATATATATATATACCTATATTAGAAATAAAAAAGCAGGACTTCAAGATAATGTAGCTTCTGCATGATTGTTTAATAAATTGATAACAATATTTTTTAAACATATTGCAGGATATGATAATACAATACAACCACCAACCATACAATGTGGACTATTTTGATATATTAATGTTTATCACGGAATGGTTGAAACACAAGGACGTGGTACATTACATTTGCATTGTTTTTTTTGGGTAAAAGATGCACCAGCAACAACTGCTGAGTATGAAAAATATATAAAAGACAAAAATGCAATTATCACAAATATTAAACTATACAGACAATATATTTAAGAAAAATTTATCAACTGACGTCAATACTATACCTTGCCCAAAATGTAATAATATAGCAAGTTTTAAAATAATTGATATACCCCTATTTACATTTAAAACACCTTTTCGAAAAAATCTACTAAACTTTAGTCCAATAGAACCAACTATAGCAAAAGGTTAATATTGTAAACAAGAAATAAATTCGCATTACAAAGCACGATCAGCATTGCTTCAAACATCAAAACAAAAAACTCTATCAAGAAAAAAATTCACCAAAATTTTTTTCTATTCACCTTATAAATGATCTAATTTTTAAACATGAACTATATCAAGTACTATTGAATATGCCGAATAGTTTACAACAATTAAGTGATGATGAAAATGACCTTAAACATAATAAAATTGCATTGATTCTTTTAACTCAAACACATCATTGGACACATACTCCTTCATGTGTCAAAAAATCACGAATTACTTATAACCCAAAAAGTTGTTGATATTTATACCCTCCCGCGCGTATAGAAAAAACAGTAATGAAAAACGATGGAATACAAATATGTCGACCATTTGGTCGTGAATACAGAAATAGTTTTAATGACATAATATTATCTACATTCAACGCAAATCATGACATACAAATTTTATTACGAGAACATGAGAATGCCGAAAGAATTTTTTATATAACTAGTTATACAGCAAAAGATCAACATCAAGTCGATAGCAATACAACTTTTGCTCTTGCTGCATTCGATGCCCGAACACAACGAGAAAATGAAGAAAAAAAAAATGAACAACTTACAATGTGCACTGTACATTTTTCGACATAGTTTTGCATATAAAAGTCATTCATTTAAAAAATTGTCTATTAAACAAACATCAAAACAATTAACAAACGACACTGAAATCGTTTGTAAAATTGAAAAAGAAAAAAAAAATTTATAAATCAACCACTAGATGATTGTATCTACAGACCATTAAAACTACACAAAAAAACACCTATTTTTTTAAAAAAGCCCACAACATGAAAAACAATATATAGGACAACATAATATCCATATATACCAATAATACCATATAATAATAGAATATCTGATTTCAAAAAATGTGAATCTGAAGATGCAAAAAACAAACACAATTAAGCAACTTTACTTTTTTTAAGTCATTCAAAAAAATAATTTTTCAATAAAATTCAATGAAACCTGGTTTTCGGAATTTAAAATTTTTAATACACAAATGTCATCTTTTATCTTACAAATATACAATAACATGCAAGATTTTCATATTGCAAGAACAAAAGTTTCAAAAGTACGAATTAAACGATTGTTACAAACAACAAAATCTGAAAACAATGAAAATACTAATAGTGATAATAGTTCAAATCATAGCGATTTTGAATTACCAAATAATTTTTCATCAGAACACAGTGAATATGATTTGTTTCATAATATCAACAAAGAAGATTTTTTTCAAAATTATGAAACAATACATACGACAAATGATTGAACAATCCGTTGATATGTCCAGCGACAAAAAAACTTATATCAGAAAACGAATTTAAAAAAGTATTACAAACAACAAATATTATGCATCAGACAGCGATATTGACAACACATGAATAAAAAATATTCTAAATTTTACTGAAAATCAAATTAAAATTTAAAGAACGACTAAAATAAATTACACATTCATTAGAAATTAGCTTAAATCAGATCCTCAAATAAATATTGATAAAAGTAATTATGTAATACCAAATATGAAAAAATTACAAAACAAACAAAAGTAACTCTTCTTGCAAATGCTTTAAATCATGAAAACATAAAATATAAAAAAAACAAACAAAACTCAAATACAAACAAATAATGACATAAACAATTATCCATCTATCTCTGAGATATCACAAAAAATTAAACTCACAAACAACAACATATAGCATTTACATTAATCACAAAATCACTGTTATTAACTTTACAATTTACAAACAATTGATTTAGAAAGAAATGAAAAAATATCATTAGACCAAATGAAAAAATAAATTCAGAAAAAACAATTACTAATGTATCTTATTGGAGAAGGTAGAACCGGAAAATCACACGTCGTAAATGCAATAGCGACATTTTGTAAACATTGAAAAAAAACAAAAGGAATTACAAAAACAGTTCTCATAGAAAAAATAACGGTTTCAATTAAAAGGCAAACTTTACATAATTGGATAGGCATACACAATCTTGATAAATCAAATGCAAATAATCAAACAACTACACAAATAGTTCAGGATTCAACACCGAACTTGTATTATTACTTATAGATGAAGTCAGTATGCTAGGCGACGAAATGTTTATGCAAATAGATTACTCATTAAGAAAAGTTCGACAAATTGATTTGTCATTTGGTGGTATAGATATGGTTTGTTTATGAGATCATTTTGAAATATCACATGTACTATGAATTCTACTATATAAGAAACCATCTCTTGAATTAGCAGCCAAACCTTATGATATTGAAGCATATGAGCTATGGT